GAGAGAGAGAGAGAGAGAGAGAGAGAATGTATTTTAAAATGGTAGAAACAGTTTATCTATTTATATAATTAGATTTAAAAGTAAAAGTGAAATAATATTCAATAATAACATACAATAATTGTGTAGACATTGTATTGACTTTATATTGACATAAAATATACTTTACCTAGATGTTCCATGATGTTCATAGGTTTATCAGATTCAAATAGAATTTTACTAATCAGTGAATACAGCAAAACAATCCTGCATTTAATTAAATTCGCCCTTGATTAATATTCACTATAACACTATTACTTTACATTCACACACATATGAAAACACTGTTTATATAAAGACACATATTTATTATATAAGACGTTATAAAAATCTGTTTCCTGGAAGTGTAAACACTTTTTTCATTAATTATATCAAGTATTTGTGTTGCTTTGACAATAATTTAGTGCTAAAGTAATTAATTGGCAAAATCTGTGCATAATTTTTATAATAATTCAATTGAAAACATATTTTCAACAATATTATTCTGTTAATTCACTGATAAATAATGAAAATGATAAGTAGTTTTTGTATAGTTTTTGTAATATTCTTCATATTTTGTATGCAAACCATACAAATCACTGAATGTAAGTCTACTTGTAGTTGTAATTAATATTTTATTTTTAATTAATATTAAAGTTTTCTAGAAATTTATCTCCATATACAATGATAGGCACATTTTATATACGTATATTAGTTATGCTTTCAATTAATATTCTCATATAAAGTATAATATTTGGCCAAATGAGTGCCAATAAAATAATTTATTTCATATTAAATCAATAATTTAAGTATGACTTCAATAAATATTAGATTTAAATATTAAATCAATATTTTATTTAAATATAACTCAAATAAAATAATAGATTTATATAAGTAATTATACGAGCAATTTATTTAATATACACATCATTAACATTATTAACATTTTAATCACTAATAAATCTAAAACACTTGAATACAACATTTCAATAACACTTAACATTCTTAGGACTTGGAAATAAAGCAAAATCTCATAAAATACTCAAATATTTAACTTTTTCACAAAATTTTGATAATAAATGTTAATTTTATTTGAAATGATATGCAAAGCACTGATTTTGGGCGAGAAATGCAAACCATTGGGGGCTAATTGTGTTGACCACAGCGAGTGTTGCGGTGATAAGGCCTGCGGGGGACAGATAGGCTTCAGGGCGTGTATGGAGTGGATATTTTGAGCCACACACTGGTCAGTGGGCATAATGATTATCAGGACACTTAGTTTACAATAATGTCTATAATTTATAACAAAATCAATGAATAAATAATTAAAGTAATTAAAAAACAGTCAAACATTTGTTTCAAATATTTTATTAAATTTCAGATTAATTCAATGTAAATTGCATTCAAATGGTGTTACAAACACTCGACCAGATTAATGGTCACAATAAGGGACTAATTTGGCACAAAGTGATTGAAACACAATCTCATTGATCTGCCAATAAATGATTGGTCCCGCGTTTGCACGTATTTGTAACCATTTGCTCCACTTTTTGCGCGAAATTTTGTCCAAATTGTTGGCCAGAAATGCCTTTAACTGTGCCATGAATTGGTCGTTGAAGAGCTCGTATTTGACCATCACTTTAAACACTTGGACCATATTCTTGACGGTCAATATTGCGCCCAAATGGGTGCCCAACACATCCCTCAGCGCTGGGACGCCACAGACGGCCGCCATATCGGCGATTCTGGCCATTGTCTTCACGTCAATCATTGGCTGCAAGTGTTGGACGATAGCGTCGACCAATCGATTGACGCGTAAGTATTGAGCGCTATGAAGCGCATCGCCGATCACTTCCAGGTCTTCGGCATCGCTTATGACCAGCTCTTCGGTGAACATATAGCGGATGACTGTCTTGAAGGCCTCGGGAGTGATATATTCAATGGTAAACTCATTGACCGTTGAGTTTTGGGACAGTATGTCATCCAAAACGACACCTTTCAGCGCTAACACCGATCGGATGGCCGGCACTATTTGGCCATTGATGTCGAAGAAGACATCACTCTTCGATTGATCCAAATAGTATCGCATCTCTGGATACCTGTCCTCGGGATCGGTGTCACCGATGGATGCGATTCGCTGTTTCTTTGCCTTTTGATTGCGATTAAAATAAATTGTCAAAAAAGTGGTAAAACTTATTGCAATCATTGCTTACCTTTTTGTCCAACTCTTTGGATCCGTTGCCCGAATTGTCCTTCACTTTGCGCTTCATTTCACTCCCAACTCTTGTCTTAAATGTGTCTCCAATTGTCACAATTAATTCAATCACTCAATGGTTAACAAAAAGCTCATAAAATGTGTACTTTTTTGTGTGAAAAACTTTTTGAAAACAGTTTACAGTTTTTGTGACTGAAATGCTATTAGTGTTTGCTTTACGATATAATTGTGTTTTCATTTACTGTAAATGTTTACTGTTTTTATTATTAATAAAATATAATATTAAATGTAGAGTTTTTTAATTACTAAATAAATAAAACTATTAAAACTATTTTCTCTAAATATTGTATAAATTTAATTATATTTTACAAATCATTAGACATTTAATTGAGTTTTATTTAAAAATCGTAATAAAAATAACTTAAAAATGCAAAATAAAAAAGTTAATAAAACTAATATTTAATTTCCGTCAGTAATAACAGACAAATAAATGAAATAAAAATACAATCAATTAATCAAATAATCAATACTTCACTCAAAAATACATTTAATAAATTTAAACTATAATAAAATAATAGCATAAAAATTGTGTTACAATAAGTCTATCACTACTCGAGCCTAGCCTTGAGAGAAGCTCCTGAAAGCGGCGCCTTCGCCGACATTGCCGATGGGTTGGGGCGCCTCAGCCGGCGCTCCGTCGCTGCCGCCGACTGGCGTACCCTTCGGGACGTCGTCGCCCTCGGCCTGAAAGCCATTCTTGCCGGCCGTGTACTTAACGATACGCTGTTTGCCGTCGGCGTCGGTGAAACCGTAGGCGCCCTGAACTGTGCCGTCGGGCAGTCGGGTCTCCTCTCGGAAACTGCCGCCGTCTCCCGTGTGGTAACCAAACTGTATAATTAATTGCATTTAGTTTACAATCTTAAAAGTCTCTCTCTCTCTCTCAACAATAATATTGAATGATTGAATAGTGAGCACCTGTAGCCCTCACACAAACGCACTGACCTTATAGTCTCCCTGCAGTTGCGGACCAATACTGGAGTAGTGAACGGGCGCTGGCTTTGCGTTGAGAGCATTCTGTGGGCTTTGATAGTTGGATACGGGG